AGTGTAACTAGGTTATGGTTATGTTCCTCTATGGTCGAACCGAATACGACAATGTCGTCGAGGTATACAAAACAAATTTTTCCAATTAACCCTTTAAGAGCTCGATCCATCATGCGTTGGAAAGTCGCCGGCGCGTTTCGTAGTCCAAACGGCATCCTTTCAAATTCGAAATGTCCTTCTGGCGTAGAGAAAGCAGTGAATTTTTTTGAAGATTCTTCCATTGGTATTTGATGGAAACCCGCCTTTAGATCAAATACTGAGAAAAATTTTGCTTTTCCCAGATGATCCAGGATATCATCTATCACCGGAAGAGGATAAGAGTCTTGATCAGTCATGTCGTTAATTTTTCTGAAATCCGTAACCAGCCACAGTGGCGAATTATAGGGGGACATGGAATGTCTAATAATTTTTTTTAAAAACATGTCTCCTACTTGACTGTTCATTTCCTTTTTGTGAGCTTCGGGCGGATGGTATGATTTAATGTTAATAATCTTATCTTCCTTTAAAACAATTCGATGGGACGTTAATTTGCAACAAGGTAGAGGGTCCCCAGGAAGTGAAAAAATGTCGTGATAAGATTGAATAATTTTTTGAATCGCTTCGCGAATAGTAGGTTCTATGTGATTTATTCTTGTGTTTTCTGTCAGAAGTTTAATTCGTGCGAAAAATTCTTCGTCCGTAATACGATGAATTGAATAATTACGAGGTTCGTTTTTTAGTATTTTATAATCCAATTCAGTCATCGAAAGTAATTTTGGATTTAGAGAGTCATTAACAATGGGTACTGTAATTGTCGAATCACAAATTCGGAAAATTGAATCAGGAATATGTGGGTTATCTATAAATCCTGCACATCCATTTTGTTTTGAGACCGGAATTTTAATTAATTTTATTTGATTAGGAGGAATGAGTATACCGTCATCGATGAGAGAATGTGATTTTGTGTTAAGATCTAATTTAGTATTCGATAGATTGTATTGATAATTCCGAAGAAAACAAAGTCCCATAATTCCATCTTCGGGCATGGGAAAGTCATCAGGAACAATATGAAAAACATGATTTTGACCTAAGTATTGCAATTCGATTTTGAATTTTGACTTATGTATTTCATTTCCCATTTTGAACTCTTTTTCTTGTTCTAATTGTGGAAAACAGTGAGGGACGCAGGAATTTTTAATCAAATTTATTGAGGCTCCTGAATCGACAAGTAGTCGGATGTCTCGTTCGAATCTTCGTGGTCGTAATAGTACTGACTGAAGTCGTCCTGAGACGTAGGATATTCTGTCTGGTAATTGTCCGTGTTCTCGTGGGATTGTTCTTGATTTTCGTAATTGTTTGATTCGGGGCACTGTTCTTGTGTCAGATTTACTCTCGGGGGGGGGGTTTCTTTACTCTTTGTCCTAATTGAAAATTTTGCGATTTACCTTTTTTATTAAAACATTGCGATTCTACATGCCCTATTCTTTTACAAATAGTACATTGTAATTGTGCTTTTTGAGAGAGGGGCATATTATGGTTAGGTGGGTTGCTTTGTTGCCCAGGTATAGAGGCACGTGTCGCTGGACGCATTGGTGTAGAGCTTTGTTGTAAATTCCGTACCGTCGCTGGTATTTTAAACCTTGTTTTCTCACGAATCCATACTTCTGCTTCGAGAGCTTCTTCATGAGCTTTGTTTATAGATGTTGGTTTCAATGGCCTAACTTGCATGCCAAGGTCATCTCGAAGATTCATAATATATCGTTTTATCGCTGTTTTTTCTTCGAGCTGTAAGGCCACATTTCGCGCAATTGTCGTACTGTGTTCGGATTGTATCGCATAATAAAGTTCGTTAAGACATTTTCCAAAACGTTGGTTAAAAATTTGAACATTATCGTTTCCTTGTCTACACGAATCTAATTTTGCGCGACATAATTCTATTGATGTTCCGGATCCTAAATTTGTCCTAAGTGCTTGGTAAAAATCTTCATAATTATTTATCGAGACATGCCTTATTGAACGTTTGGCATTGTCAACTACTTTTTCTGTAAGTATAAAATCGAGTAATAGTTCCTGCTGTGAACAACGTTGACGCGCGCGTTGAACTGTTTTTATAAAATCTTCGGTACCCACATCGTCACGCCCGTTAAGAATTTCCACTGTTCGGATTATTTCTTTAGCAGGTAAAAGACTGTTTTCTTGTGAAGAAGGCACCACCGGGTTTTCGATCATAAAACTGTTAGACGTAGGGGGTCTCTGTCTATTATCTGTTGTATATCCTTGAAGGGAATTTATTTTTTCCTGGCTAAAACTATTTTTTTTATTATCTTTTTTTAAATGTTCGATGCGTAACCGTTCTAATTCCTTGAAATTTTCCTCGCTACCATTATCATCTTCCGTTATAAGTTGATTGTCTTCGCGAGCTAATTGTTTAATCTCTTGCACCCGTTTTAAATTTTCTTTGTTCAATTGGTTAACGCTTTTGTAGAGAGAAGATTGTGCGGTTTCCATTAATTTTAATCTTTCTAAAATCTGGTTAAGGATATCGGTTTGGATTGAGGATGAATTCTCTGAGTTGCCACTCGTAGACATGATTACAACTATTATATTACTTATAGTTAATAGTAGTAATAAAAAAAAATATGTTCAATATAAACTTGAATACAAAAATGCGATAATGTATAGAAAATGAAATTATCTTAATAAACTTGAAAAAGTGTATGAAAATAATGAAACTTATTGTTAAAAAAAAATGTGTTTTGCTTACAAAACCAGATGTGTATATATATGTGTGTATATATAAATGTCGAGTCGATCCGTAGATGAGTCCTCGCAGATTGAAGTCGCTTTATCCGTAATGTTTTTTGAAGAGAAAAAAATTTGAACGCTGATCCATAGACAGTCGCTCCTTTCCTGGGACTTTTACCCACGGAATCACTATCGAACTTACTTGGTTCGGCCCAGAGTACGTGTTTTCCGGTAATTCCCAGTGAAAATATCACCGTTTACAATATAAAAACACTCACTTTTATTCACTTAGAATTAACACTGAGAAACAGAGAACTCCGAGTGGTTTTTTTTTCAAAGATAGCCGATTTTTGATATAGCAAGAATCGTATCGACTATCCTGGCAGGATCGCCAAAAATGTGACGGGTTTAAATAAAACACGTTACAAAACAATTTAAATTTGCTTATCCGTAGATTAAGTATTTATTTTAATTGAGTTACTCAGCTTTTACATCAAGTTCGTAAACTTAACATTAAAAAGGTTCCTATTTAAAAGAGGGCTCGGAGACAACTGCCCTACGCTTCTGGACCATTCCTTGGGGTAGCCAAAGGTCCAAGGAATGTTGTCCTTGAAAAGAAGGGGAGGAAAAAGGAAAGTTAGTTTCACTAAGGAAAGGAAAACGTATTACAAGAAAATGCGTTACACATTGAAATATGATGTGATCGTTTTCATATGACTTTTAAAAATTGTCTACTTCTTCAGATTGAAAAATACACTGCTTCTAGGATGGTTCGAATCAAATTTTAAAACACTATTTAATTCCCCTTTATTAACAATTTGTACTCCTATCGTAACTTGTTTAATAAATGATGAATTTAAATTAAATGTACTTGAAAGACTCAGTTGATTTCTCGGCATATAAGACATTGTTGTTTTTTCTACAATTCAAGAAATTCAATATGATTATATACTCTTCCAAGATATTTAAGGCCCAATTTTTCGTTTGCAGACAATCCTTTTAAATGAGTTAATAGATTTTCATCCTCATTAATGACATCGAAAATTCTCTTGGGTAAAAACACTGAAAATTCTTGACCAATGTTCACTACAATTCGATAACCAAATCTGGTTTTTACGAGATGCAAATCCGAAATAATGTTTTTATTTTATATTTAATTTTTCAAATTTCTCAGTTAAATCTCTGTAATTATTTTTTCAAACTATGAAAAAATACTTTCGTTAAGACTTAATTTTTCAAATCTTTCAAATAAATCTTTAAAATCGCGAGACTCTTGAATTATTTTATTTAAGTTTCGATAAAATTCAAACTTTTGTGTCACTTCACAGTTACTCATTCGAGGTTGTCAAGTTCTAGCTTTGTAAGAAACTAATGAACAATGCTGAACTTGACTTCCCTTTTATACGCACCAGATTGCAAATAAAAATTCCATGTGACAATAATATCCCTTGATAAAGAAAGCTTGAATAACAATTTTTAAATTCCAATTGTAACAAACGAAACTGTTAAAAAGTTTCAACTTGCAAAAATTATCTAATGTTTCTTATCTCATCTATTAAAGGATTCATTTTAAGTTCTTATTTGCCTAAACATGCCTGAGTAAAAAATAATATAGTGCAAATAAATTCCTTGGGTATTAAATTTTTAATAAACAAAACATTCAACATTCTTTACTGCAAAAATAGAATTGTGCAATCAAAAATATATAAGGGGGTTCCTAGATATAGCTAAAGTCAACGCCTTATGCAGAAGCCCCCTTACATATCTACTAAATAAAATAACTTTTATTATTTTATTTTATAAATATTTAAAAAATGTAAAATAAAATTTATATGTTTAATAATAATTTCTAAAAATTCTTTATTTTGTTGAAAACTATATTTAAATTTTAATTAAATTAATAATTCTTTTTATTTGAATTTATTTCTTCCTTCTCTTTCTATTGATTTTCCTGTTTACATTCTCATTGTGTTATCTGTAGATATCTTCTCTCTCCTTCCATTATTTCCAAAAATTCTGTTTCTCTAAATTTAAATTCAGTTCTTAATATTATTTTATTTCTAATATTTAATTTATAATTTTTCAAATAATTTATAATAATGTTATTATTAAATTTTTGACTATTGAAGTACTGTTTCAAACCTTACGAAGCAAGCTTTGAAACTTCTAAGGGGTTAAAATAAATGATATGCCTCCTCTTAAATATATCTTTTTCCTTATTCTCCCACATGTTTCAAAAATTTTGTAAATAATATTTCTCTGAATAAATAACTTACCGCAGATCACCTTTTTGTCCAAATTCGCCAGAAACCGTTGGTAAGCCAAGACCAGCTGTAAAAACATTGACAGATCCTGTTGCCAATCCACTTCTTGTTACGTCAAGAACTAAATCCGGTATATTTGATCGTGATCTTTCATCTTTAAGAATCGCAGTCCAATTACCACACAAGCTTTCAATAGTGCTATTATGATCATAACTATCTATCTCAATTACGTAGACTTCTCCCACGCAACTAGGACACATTTCTTTCAGCATTTTCAAAGAACTCGTTACGCTTTTGTTGGCTACTTCATTGTCTTCGTCATTGATGATAACTGAAAAACATTTTACTATTTACTGGAATGTATCTTGTAAAAAATTGCACATAGTTTCAGTCTTTTTGGAATAATTTGTTATAAATTGAGTATTTAAATTCATCTACTTAAACAAGTCTATAAATTACATAAATTTAGAAACAATATAGAGCAGAAATAGCTATCCTAAATAAACAGTTAATCGAGAAATTTTATTTTTAACACTGATTATATCACAAAAATTTTATTATTATAAAGGTTATCCAATCATATACTAACGCACTCGAGTCGATAGTCCTAACCATTGAACCGCTCTGACATGTATTTGAAAATTTGTAAATTGTTGCCCACACAGCATCGACAATTTCCAAAGATTCATTGAATGTTTTGAATGATATTTTGGGAGTGTTGCATCGCCGAGTTTAGAATAGATGCTTTAAATTTTAAAATGTCCGCATGTGAGCAAATCTTTAACGCGAAAGTTGACTGAATATGTAAATTACATTTTCGTTAAAGTCTATTTTCATTTTGAACCTATAAGGAAAATGTAACTTACATATTCAGTCAACTTCGATTTCCAACCTTTAACAAAAATGTAATTTGCTTATTCTGCCAACTTCCGTCTTAAATATTTGCTCGCATACAGACATTTTAAGATTTCAATAATGTATTTTAAACGCTGCGAGTCAAAACACTCTCAAGTTAACAATAAAACATTTCACGTGAAACGATTTCATGGTAACCGCCCTATGGAAATTCCACATAAAAAGTCAACTTGGAATTCCACGTGGAATTTCTTGTAGAATAACAAATTTGTTTTGAAACGGTTTTTATAACAATTTCTGCGTAAATTAAAATTAATTAATACTCGAATTTATAGAGCAGATTTCGGCAGAATTACACCACATGCACGTTTCACACCAATACTTTCTTTGATAATTTACATACTTAATGTATATTCCATATATACATATGGACATTTGTCCATATGTTAAACAAACATCTGTTGAAAGTTTTAGATGTGGTGGATGCCCTAGAATTTTAAAAAGATTTTCACGAACGACTTGATAATTTGAACCTACTAGAGTATGAGTCGTATTTTACAAATTAAATTTTTAGTTATTTTGTTATTTTAAGGTATAAAAAACTCTAATTTAAGAGAAGATTTGTCGCGCATAGGTTGAATAATCGATGAAAAATTCAAATTTAATTCATTTTGTAGAATTTGTTGATTTAGCTCATGTGATTGTACGAGTCTGCGCAGAATGCAGAACACAGTCGCGTCAATTTTAACGAAAAGTTTAATCACTCTGAACATCGTTTTTCCTTCTCAAGATGCGCATAAATTGAAACGAACTTTCTGTCTCCTATATAAATCGAATGTGAATGCCTCTTTATTAATTTTACACCTGCTAAAAACTTCGATACCAGAATGAATCTGTTTGTCAGTAAGGAGCGTCACTGTACGAAGTATTCTGATATCGTCGTTTGGCAAATTATAGTGACGGGTAGGTGGTCTAAGTAATTCTGGTCTGCAAGAATTTCTAATCGTTTTGTAGATGAACGTTAATTGAAGAAAGGAAATACAAATTTTTGATAATTTTTTTTTCACTTTTCAGACCAGCTTCATGATACAAGCGAAAATCTAAAAATTACATAATACGGGCTTTTTATTTCAATTTCGTGGTTCCTTTACACATTTCCAAGTAAATTTGAATGCCGTTCTATCCTTTGAAGGATATTATTAATCATTTATCTGCATATTTCATTGATTTTTTACAGGCTATAGAATAGAGAAAAGTCAAAACTATGTCCAACCCTGACTACACTCCCCTATTTCTGTTATATTCCAAATTTGTTATGCTTTAAGAAATATACAAAACTAAATATTTGTGAAAATAATTAAATTAAATTTTAATAAAAATTAATCTTAATTTAAAATGTTTTAAAAATATTACTTTAAAAAAATAACCCTACTTTAAACATTAATTTATAACTATGAGTATAATTATTTTAACTATATAAAAAATTTTATATCAAAATACTATATACATGTATATAGTATTTTGATAATTAACCAAATCCTACATTTTTAAATAAATTACAAATTTGAATTTATTTTTAATACTTAAATTTAATTAATTATTTTTGTTAAAAATAATAAAATAATTAATTACTTTAATCTTAATAATAATTAAATTGATGAATGATTTTTAAAAATATTATTTTCTTAAAAGATAATAAGAACCATATATTTTACGATTTTTGAAATTCTTTTAAATTTCAAATGATCTTAAATTAAAATTCGGTTAAATTAGAATTCTTTTAAATAAAAACAATGGTAAGGAGTAATCTGTAAAAAGTAAATCACATTTATTAAAAATTGATTACCCTAAATATTATTCTAATGAATATTAAGGTTAATTTAAATTCGATAAAACACAAATTTGGAGAATTGAAAATTCTAAACAAAAAACTTATTTTCAAGTAAAAATTAAAAAAGTCATATTTGTTCTGGTTATTATTTTTTTTATGAAAACACATAAAAAATTTTAATTGTTTAAAATTATTTGTTACATATTTATTTAAGTGAAACTATCTATTTCAATACTGACATATAAAAATTAAACTTAATTGAGAATGTTTTCATAACATTTCTTAAAAATGTAATTACTTGCCTAAACATTTGTACTTTAAACTTTAAAACAAAAGTAGGTACAATTATTTTCATTGTATAAAAAATTTTTATTGATATTAAACAAAAAACATTTTTACAGAAATTAAATATTTCCATTTATTTTAAAAATAATTAAAATAAAAAGCATATTTTTTACGGAATGAAAAATCTAATACAGATCGAACCATAGCTGTTTGACAATAATATAATTTTTCTTATTTAACAAGTGACAGTGAAAAATGTTATGCTAAGCAGTTGAAGATTCTTTAAAACCACAGAACATTTGTATGCCTAACATATCACTTGTCAATGCTGAAGCGGTGCCAAATACAACATCTCCGTTATCAAATTCAATTCCATTTTTAACTTCTTTTATATCTTTAACAATCATCTCTGCAAGCTGTGTAAGACCATATTTTTTATATCTTGATATCTTATAATCGCAACCAAATTTATGGAAGACCAAGATGCCTGATGCATCGAACGTAAGTTTCCGTACTGAGAGTAAACGAATCCAACATTTTATTTCGCGTTAGCTTTTGATCCAAGACCATTAAAAAGATTAACTACATCGAAGTACGATTTTATTTTGTTGGCGAATGCCATTTAATACCAGCGTATGCGAAATAAGTAATTAATGGGAAAAACAATAAAGGTAGTAATTAATGAATTAGTGATACCGAATCAACATCAAATACATATATATATATTTATTGTGAAACATTAATTTGTCAAATAAGATTGAAATACAAAAAGTGTGAAGTAGAATATTATTCTTGAATAAATCAAAGTGTTCCTGGTTGAGTGGTTAGCAGGTAACTAGCTTATCATGCCCAAAGTACACCCTCACTACCCTGTGCTAGACGGTACCTTTGATACCTGGACTGACCCTTCTCTCATAATAGAATTGACAATGTTTAGGGACATTACATCGTTGTATATACTTTCAACACCCTTCCTCAACGATGATTATCTGAAACCGAAGAAACAAAAGAACAAACAAGAATATAAGCAATTCTCTTAACCACATTGCTTCTTCACTTGCTTCTGAAAGAGCAATATATTCCGCTTCTGTTGACGTTAGTGCCACGCAATCTTGTTTTTTCGATGCCCAACACATTGTTGCGCCTTGAAGTTTGAATAAATAGCCACTATTTGACTTTCTATTTTCTTTGTCTTCTGCCCAATTAGCATTTGCATATCCTATTAATTTCTCCTCGCTGTTATCTTTGAAACTCTTTAGGGGGTGACACTCAGTCAATAAAAAATTTTTTTTTGAACTAAAAAAAAAAATTTTTTGAATTAAAATAAATTTTTTTACAAAGAAAATAGCGTCACCCTCTCACCATCTAACGGTGAAAAAAGTTTTGATTATTTTTTAACATTTTGCAAATTTTCATTGGCCAATTGCACTCTTTTGGCATGAAATTGTATTAAATCAGATTATTTAATGAGTTATTTATATTTCAAATAGCCTATCCTTTACACTCTTATGAAAATTGCATCTTGAGGAATTGAGTTCGTTTTCGAATTGAGATTTTTTCCATGTTGAAGAAATAACACTATGCGCCTGCGTGTCATTCTACCAATAAGAATTTCCTGCAATATTGTCCAAACTGAGTATGCGCCTTGAAATGGTTTTTATACTACTGGATGCATCTATTTAAAATCAAAGATTCTATTGTCAGAAATGTTCAGAACAAAAAAGTGTTTTACATCCGTGCATTTTATAAACAGCTGTTCATGAAAATATTTTGAAAATATGTATAACCTATTTGTTTTCGTTTTCTTTCCATAACCACAGCAATATAAATTATATAAAGCAATTATTTATCAGTAAGTTTATTTGCAAATGTGAAAATCCTGGTAAGTGATACTACTTAATATTATTATTTTTACACACATATATATGTTCCATATTAACAAATCAGGGTGACAGTAAAATTTTAATTTTTTATTGGTATAGTGCCAGCATTAAGTTGATCATGCCTCAAGGAGTACATATGTCTAAAAGGAAAAGCGGTTGTCAGCAAAGAAAAGATAAAAAGGCAAAACTGAATGAAATAGAAAGTATTTCTGGATCCCTGCTGAAGTATGTAAAAGTTGAAGAAAATCATCATGACGTTCAAATTACGACGCCTGATGCTGAAAACACTTTCGACAGTCATGTATCGTCGACTAATAGTGAAAAAGAACTAAATAATAACAATGTAATAGAAGATAATGTAAACAAATCGAAGAGTTTCGAACCCGATGAAATGAGAGATGATGAATTGAAGAAAACTAGCTGCTTGGATATTTTACAAGATGTTTCACATTGGCGTTTACCCCTTTCAGAAAATTGTCGTGTTTCAATAACACAGCCACACAAAAAAAAAAAAAGTTCTGATCTGGGGGTCTGACTATATATTTTCTATGTCTTTTGGGTCGCTGAATCCGAATCCGAGGCCCATTCAACCCCATCACATCAGGTTTTTGAAAAAACCTCAAAAAACCAAAATGGCGGACACTTTTTTGGAAAATTTATCGGATTCGCTTGAAACTCGCTACTCGGGGGTTTTTGGGGTCGCTGATTACGAATTTAAAGTCAGTTTTCAAAAATTCAAAATGGCGGATCCAATATGGCGGACATTTTTTTGAAAAATTTGCCGGATTTGCTTGAAACTCGCTACTCGGGGGTTTTTGGGGTCTCTGATTACGAATTTGAAGTCAGTTTTCAAAAATTCAAAATGGCGGATCCAATATGGCGGATATTTGTTTGAAAAATGTTGGATTTGCTTGAAACTTGCTACTCGGGGGTTTTTGGGGGCGCTGATTACGAATTTGAAGTCAGTTTAAATTTATCATATCAGGATTCGGACATAATCTAAAAAAACCTACAAATTGTGCTATTAAACGCGCGTAATATCTTTAGTTTCAATGTTTATGTTATCACGTCTATTTTACTATATAATGTACCGTCGGCATTTGCGTTACCCAATGTACACCACGTGGAGGTGCCCTGGACGCAGGCACACGCAAGATACAAAGTAAATACGGGTGAATTAAAACACTCAAGTTTTTGATTTCTCAAAAGAACATCTTTATTGGATTCGCCATTTTAAATTTTGTAAATTGGACTTCAAATTCGTAATCAGCGACTTCAAAAACCCTCATGTAACGAGTTTCAAGCGAATCTAATAAAGTTGACAAAAAATCCTGCCATAATGGATCCGCCATTTTGAATTTTTGAAAACTGACTTCAAATTCGTAATCAGAGACCCCAAAAACCCCCGAGTAGCGAGTTTCAAGCAAATCCGGCAAATTTTTCAAAAAAATGTCCGCCATATTGGATCCGCCATTTTGAATTTTTGAAAACTGACTTCAAATTCGTAATCAGCGACCCCAAAAACCCCCGAGTAGCGAGTTTCAAGCGAATCCGATAAATTTTCCAAAAATGTGTCCGCCATTTTGTTTTTTTGAGGTTTTTTCAAAAACCTGATGTGATGGGGTTGAATGGGCCTCGGATTCGGATTCAGCGACCCAAAAGACATAGAAAATATATAGTCAGACCCCCAGATCAGAACTTTTTTTTTTTTTTGTGTGGCTGTGTAATGAATAAATGGAGTTGTCATTTTCAAAACAAGGACGGACCATTTGAGCCAACATTGCGACAAGGGATAAAAGTTAAAGGAGAAATGCGCTGCTTATCAACAGCATGGTTTTCTAAAGAAATGCCTAATGGTCAAAAAATTCTTAGGACATGGATGGTCTATTCGCCAATCAGCAAACAATTATATTGTTTTTGTTGTCGCTTATTTGCCAGCAGTGATGAAAACGGATCTTTATTTGTAAGCGGATTTTTCAAATGGTGGAAGTTAAATCCTAAAGTGGTACAACATGAAAACTCGGAAGAACACCTTGAAAATTTAGAAAAATGGAAACTTTTTGAAACTGGTCTGAAATTACAAAATACTATAGACAGTGAATTGTTGAAAAATATGGAGTCAGAAAATAAAAAATGGAGAAATATCTTAACAAGGTTATTAGATATAACTCTATTTTTGTCCAAACAAAATTTAGCATTTCGAAGCCACGATGAAAGTGAAAATTCAACGAATAGAGGAAACTTTCTTGAAATGGTAAAACTTCTTTCTAAGTATGATGTTGTATTGAAAGAACACACGATGAGATTGGATCGACATGTATCATACCTGTCACCGGAAACACAAAATGAATTTTTATTTTTTTTTTTGCAACTTTAGAGCAAATTTTCGCATTTTTCTCTGTATCTACCTATCGATGGGATGTATTAATAAATCATTGCGACTGTTCCGTCAAAAAATTATCAACAACCCGTTGGAGTGTTCACTATGCTGCTGTAAAAGCCGTCGAAGAAAATTTTGATAAAGTTATTGCAGCAATCAAAGAACTGTGTTATCCTCAAGAAATCGTAGATACCAGAGGTTCTGCACAAAGCCTTTTATCTGCTTTCTGTAATTTCACTTTTCTTTGCTTTTTATATTTTTGGAAGGAGATTTTAAAAGAAATTGATTGCACGCAAGTATACTTGCAAACAAAAGCTTTAAGTCTCGATAAAGTATCAGCAAAATTGGAATCGCTTCGACTTTTTGTCCAAGAAGAACGAAACAGTCTTGTTGACAAATCCATTGATCGTGCTCTGCTTACAGCAGAGGAGTATGGCCTTAAAACAGAAAGAAGAATTCGCTTCAGGAACAGAATGGCTGGAGAGCAAACAAATGATGCTGGCCATACATTGCAAGCAGAAATTAGAATATCCATGATTGAATGCTTAGATCGATTTCATTCAGAAATCGCAACGAGATCAAAATCTATTCAAGACATAGTATCGAAGTTTGAAGCTATTCAAACAGAAAATCTTTTGTATGCAAGCGATATTGTAAAATGGGGTTTTGTTGAATCATTGCCTAATTTAACTCTTATTAAAATTATTGTTAACAATTTGCGTATCAAATGCAGGTTGTGAAAGAAGTTTTTCTAAACTAAAACTAATAAAAGATTACTTGCGATCTACGATGTCTCAGACTCGGCTAAACGATCTAGCCATATTATCTATTGAAAAAGAAGCATCTGAAAACATAGACTTTGATGAAATAATTAATGATTTTGCAGCTGTTAAAGCTAGAAGAGTACAATTTAATTAAAAAAATACATTTATGATGATTTATAATAAAGTATCTGTTTGTGAATATATCATGTTTTATATAAAATTGAAGCTTTAATTAATGTACTTTTTAAAATAAAAGAATTTAATTCTTTTAGTTTATAGTTCCAAATAGTAGTTTTCTGAACACTTTAATATAACTTTGGTTTCTTTTTTTAAGCGGTGGGTGACACTATGTAGAATCGCCCCGGGTGACACCAGTCCTAGCTACGCCGCTGCAACTTGGAATCAAATAAACTATAAACCAATAATAGACACATTTACTGGATCTGAAATTCGTTTATCTGCTGATTCCCATGCTCGCTTTATGAAACATGTTGATGAAAGTTATTTGGCAAATATTATAATTTATACTGACGCTTCATTTGAACCCAGATCAGATAAGAGCTCCATATTCTTTACATACCCGACCTGGACATTAAATATAGATCCATTTATTCTCTTGAAATCATGTCAATTAAATCTGCAATAGAATATGTTATCAGATGGGAAATAAGAAATACCTTGATCGTCTCTAACTTACTGGGGGCTTTGTAGGAATTAGAGAAATGTATCCTGGAAAATTTCAAGGTCACTCCACTAAACCAGAAGATTTACATCCTTCTCGATAGATATATCAATTTGAGATTGGGAGAAATAAAGTTCTTTTGGGTTCCCTTCGCAATCCTAATTTCACTGTAAGTGACAATAATTCTAGCTTTGAAGAGAACAAAGATTTAAATCTTGATAGCAGTGATCACGATGATATTTGTGATTCTCATGAAAACAGCGAAGAAAATCAACCAAATCTTCAAAAAATATCTCTCGATTTAATGTTACTTAGCATGAGAGCACAATGCCAAGTAACAAATGATATTGTTTTAAACGTTATTAAAAGCTTAAATGCAGTTGTCCACAGGTACGTATTCGATACACTTTGAACATGGAAGAAATTTTAAAAGATCAAAATGTTTGTAATTTAAGGGATTTCATTGATATAAATCGAGAGGTTGCAGCAGTGGACACTGTTTAAGCTTAAGTAGTATTTACAAGCAAGACGCTTATTTTGTTAAACAATTTGACGTTATTGAACCCTCAATAATTGAACTCTCATCAGAGTTTCAAATATTTGGAAAACAAGTAGCCAGTGCAAACCAAAATATCAAATTAAAGAAAAATGAAATGGTTTATATATATTTATTCGTGATGTTCTTCTTAAATTTCTCTCTAAAGCTAAAATTTCGGGAATCCTTGGAGCAACGTTCTGAAAGTAAGGAAGGCATATTAAGTTCATTTGAAGATGGGACAAGATGTAAAGAACATCCGCTGTTTTCCAGAAATCCAAAAGCGATTCAAATATGTTGAAACTATATATACAACAATGTTATGTCCCTAAACATTGCCAATTCTATGATAAGAGAAGGGGCTTATTTGACATATTAATGTTTTACAATAAATATATTTGTGTATTTGATATTAATTCAGTGTCACTAATTCCATTTATTACTATCTTTATTGTTTTTCCCATTAATTGCTTATTTCGCATACTCAGGTATTAAGTGGAATACGCCAACCGGTTAAGGGCCCAGGGTGTGAAACAGTAATTAAATTTTTAAGTCAAGAAAAACAATAATTAAGTAATTCGGTTTTTTGTGAAAAAGTGATTAAAAGAAAAAAGTGATCAAGTGAAATTACAGATTGACTGTGAAATCAATAAAGCGAATATTAGAAAGAAAACTGAACAAAAAATAAAGTTAATGTACATAAAGCTTTTGTGAAAAGTGACTGGATAAAGAACGTTCAACTTGAAATATATAAAGTGAAAAGTAGTGAATATAAAAGGGTAAAACTACAGTAAAGTGAATGAACGTAAAGTTTTTTCTTTTTTAATAAAAAGACAAAAATTTGAGTGATATATTCAAAATAAGAAAAAATGTTTGAATCGCAGGTAACTCCTTTCGGGATTGAGAAGCTAAATAATGAAAATTATGAAATTTGGAGTTGTAAGGTAGAATTAATGTTCACATCGAAAGACTTATGGGATGTCATCAGTGAAGATCCTCCATCCAAATCAGAATCACCAGCTACGAAGACAGTATGGAAGAAAAGGGATGTTAAGGCAAAAGCGAAAATTGGTCTACTTGTGGACAATGATCAGCTCACCCACGTAAATAATAGTAAGTCTGCAAAGGAACTTTCGTTTTTGCTTAAAGAATATCATCAAAAAGCTACAGCACATGGTAAGATGTTTTATGTAAAAAGTCTTTTCAATAAACAACTACCAGAAAACGGGGACATGGAAAAACATGTAAATTCCATGGTCGATCTTTTAGATAAATTAGCTGCAATCGGTAAAAATTTAGATGACGATATATTTATTTCGGCGCTTTTTAATAGCTTACTGTCTTCATATTCTCCTTTAATTACCACTATGGAAAGTCGTCCGGAAGATCTTACGGTTTCATTTGTAAAAGGAAAACTATTAGAGGAATACAGAAAAAGAAAGTTAAAAGATGTTGATAATTCCTTAGGCGAAAATGCGTTAAAAGTATCCTTCGAAAAAGATAATAAATGTAAAAGTAATTGTTTTTTCAGTACAAAAGTCGGGCATTTGAAGAAGGATTGTTTAAGTCGCTGAGAAAAATATTATTATGGAGGTACTAGGTACAGGGTCAGGTATAATTGAAGGATTTGACAAAAATGGTACTCAAGTAAAAATTGAGTTAAATAATGTGTTTGATATCCCTGCTTTAGAACAATATTTAATTTCTGTCAGTAAAATGTCAGACGCAGGATGCAAAATTTTATTTAATAAAAAGGAATGTGAAATTCTATTCGAAGGTCAAAAAATTTTATTAGGGTCGCGTTATGGGGATATATATGGGCATATCTCTAGAACTTGTAAACTTTGAGATATTACAAATATTAATTTTTTTTCATGGCACATTCGTGAAACAAATTTTATTGTCTTTAGTATTGATCAAATACTATAAAAAAATTTGCGTAACTCATTTTTACACATTGTTACGCAGCACAGTGGGCCTTATTGCAAAAAAACCTGCCCAAAATTTCTAGATGTGTTTAAAACTGACTGAAATTTGTTACTCGCGGATTTTTTTGGTCGCTGATTACAAATCCGACGTTAGTTTTTCAAAATTCAAAATGGCGGACGACTTTTAAAAAAATTGATCGAATTTGTCTGAAATTTGTTACTCGTAGGTTTTTTGGGTCGCTGATTACGAATCTCAACTTAGTTTTTCAAAATTCAAAATGGCGGATCCAATATGGCGGACAACTTTTAAAAAAATTGATCCAATTGGCCTGAAATTTGTTACTTAGGGGTTTTCGTAGCTTCAGTTTTGTAACCATGTACATAAAATTTAAATTTTCATTACTAATATTTAAAATGGTGTATCAAATATGTCAGAAAGATATTTTCAATTATTCAATTTTTATAAAAATTTATGCCTAAGGTTTTCTGAGGTCACTGATTATGAAACTGAACTTATTTTAAAACCCAAATATATTATTATAATATAAACTAACACTACTTTATGTTACGTTTAAAATGATTTAATGCTACAGTTTCGAAAATTCTATGTCCTATGGCTTATTAAGTCATAAGTAAATGTAGTTTATAACAATTTTTGATTTTTTAAAAAAATTTTTCAAAAATTTGGTTTGCAATTTTGGATCCACCATTTTGAATTTTGAAAAATTAAGTTCAGATTCGTAATCAGCGACCCCATGAACCCCCGAGTAACAAATTTTAGGCCAATGGGATCAATTTTGTAAATAGTCATCCGCCATTATGAATTTTGTAAAACTAAGTTCAGATTCATAATCAGCGACCCCAAAAACCCCCGAGTAACAAATTTTAGGCCAATTGGATCAATTTTTTTAAAAGTCATCCGCCATATTGGATCCGCCATTTTGAATTTTGAAAAACAAAGTTCAGATTCATAATCAGCGACCCCAAAAACCCCCAAGTAACAAATTTGAGGCCAATGGGATCACTTTTTTAAAAAGTCGTCCGCCATATTGGATTTGCCATTTTGAATTTTGGAAAATTTTAAATTC